GCTGTGATTGAAGCATTACATTTAGCCTGCAGAGCCTGGCAAACATCCATGTGTCCATTTTTCCAAAAGCACTTTAACCCTGATATTAAGCATTGCTCCGTATATTACATATTACCCTAGTAGACACGGATGATCCTGGCTCCAGCATTATTTTTGGAAATAAGAAAATCTGTACAGATGTTTTATGCAAGCATTATGTACCAAGTACTCTTGTACAAAATGGCACATTCAAGGATGCTTTCCTGTCTTTAAGCTGCCGCTTGTCACAAATAGTCAGTGTGCATTCAGCTGTAGAGAATATGCTATAATTTAACATGAGCCATGTTTAACTTTTAATTAATCCCCAAAATACACCTAAGCACGTAACTGTCTATCCACAGGTCACAGTGGTGTGGATGTGAATGTTAACAAGCTTATCCTACAAATAATATATATATATTTTTTTTATCAAAGTGGCTGTAATTAGACTAACTAGCCATCATTTGGCTAGAGGCCTGTTCCAGCTGGTGGCAATTTATCACTGGTACGTGGAGCTTCAAGGAGAAGCTGAACACACTGTTTTATTACACGCAAGCTTTTAGACATAGATCTTCTTCAGCCGTACCCAGTACATGGAGACAGAAAGAGCACTTATATGGGCACCCCAATAAAAATAAAAAACATCTGCGTATCTTGACCGCAACATTCTTGAACTCTGGTCTTTTAGTCCTAAGAGATGTTTTCTGCCCATTTGTGACGGGATTGCATATTAGTGATTTGAAGGGATGATAGACAATTATCTTTCCTATGCTAATATTAAGCCGTTTTAAAGCTAATTTACCGACAACTACTGTATGAAAAGTTATACTAGCAAACAAACAACAATGAAAAAATAATAATAGATAAACTATCAGTCATAAATTCTGAAATAATGACAAATTCACCTATAGGTCCCAAACAGAAAGGTATATACAACATCTCTAAAATGTACAATAAATCTTTCTGCATATATCAACATGTTGATTTCCCTTTTACAGCCACCGGCGCCTGCTGCTGACAGGAACTCCTCTCCAGAACAGCCTAATGGAGCTGTGGTCTCTGATGCACTTCCTCATGCCCCACGTCTTCCAGTCCCACCGCGAGTTCAAGGAATGGTTCTCCAACCCGCTGACGGGAATGATCGAGGGCAGCCAGGAGTACAATGAGGGCCTGGTCAAGAGGCTGCACAAGGTGCTGAGGCCGTTCCTGCTCAGGAGGATCAAGATCGACGTGGAGAAGCAGATGCCCAAAAAATACGAGCATATTGTGCGCTGTCGCCTCTCCAAGAGACAACGGTTTCTCTACGATGACTTCATGGCACAGGCCTCGTAAGTTACTACACCTCAGAGATGATCCAGTACACAGCAAACATCTTTATGGGATTTAAAATGTATTATGAGCCTCCTAAAGATTTCTACTTGGGAAAAGCAGATTATTTTTTAAAAGATGGATTTAAAGGCACACTCATATAAAAAAAATTACTTTTTTTTTTCTCTCTAATCTCTCCTTATATTAATGAATTAAGATTGTTGTAGAGTGGGTTGCCGAGTCATCTCTGAATATAGAATATGATTGACCTACATGGCAAAGGGTTTGTGTTGTTTTGGGGTCTACACATTATTCTGTATTATTATATTTAGCTTGGTCTACTCAATAAAAAGTTTAGTTATCATTAGTCCAAGAAATTTGGGCTTTTTTGGTTAAATCAAACAATCACAGACCCTGTTTTCTATTTGATTTATTCCCATAAATAACTTAAATGCTTGAAGTGTTTATTACCGGTGTTTTTCTCTTGTCTTACTAGCATTTGTTTCTGTTTCACAGGACCCGGGAAACGCTGGCGAGCGGTCACTTCATGTCTGTGATCAACATCTTAATGCAGCTCCGCAAAGTGTGCAACCACCCCAACCTGTTCGACCCTCGGCCCATCCAGTCGCCCTTCATCACCAAGCCCATTGTTTTCCATACAGCCTCTCTGGCGATGGACGCTCTGGAGATCTCCCCTTTGAAGGTTAGCTTTAAAGGAAAAACAAAAAAAGCTTTAATTTGGTCCGAATGTATTTTTTTCGTCAATTCTGTAACGCTGAGGAGTGGATGTTTAAATGTATTACTTTGTTTTTGTGTCATCAGCGCTGCGACCTTTCAATGTTTGACCTTGTTGGTTTGGAGAGCCGTGTGTCCCGCTACCAGGCAGACATCTTCCTGCCACGCCACAAGGTCAACCGGCAACTCATCCAGGAGGTCATGGATTACCCTGAACCCCCTCCGAGACCTAAACCTGTCCGCATGAAGGTCAACAGGTACGCAGTGCAAATACTTTTATAACCACACATTGTGTAGCCAAACCCAAATGGCTTCCCCAGAATAGTACAGCTGAACCTACACCAGTATTTTTTTTAATTCAGTCTAGAAAAGCTGACCTCTACAAACAAAAGTCAATCAAGATTATTTTTTAAATACTAAATCCAGACCGTTTTCATCTTGCTCGATGCAATACAAAGATTGGTATTAAACTTCTTAAGTTGCATTAAAATGTGTGGCCAGGCAACCATCATAGTAAATGTTGAGATGTTGTCTTGCTTACTTTTCCCATGATCAATCAAAATCGGACAATCTATAAAGCAAACAGTGTTGGTGAGTGTGGACATGCAAATGATCATAGTAAAACTGTGTTTGATTTTGATTAGAAAACACCACTTTTTGGATAACTGTAGACTAATTTAAATAAAGGGAAAAAAGGTAAACAAATAAATTGAGCACTTTGGAAAAGTTGCTGTAAAATGTATTATAAAAATCAATAAATGAAGACATTGATTGAGCTTTTGTATGTTGGTCTGTCTCTGCTTTAGGATGTTCCAGCCGCCTCCTAAAAGTGATAACCGACCGGTCCTCCTGATGAATAAACCCACCTGCTCAGTGCCTCCTGCAGCACAGACCCCCAAATCTCTAGTTACTGAAGTCTCCACAGCTGCTGCTCCTGCTCCTGTGGTTCAACAAGGCAAGTGAAAAGGAACATTTATTTATTAGAGAAAAAGAAAAACGCGATTCTGCGATCGCAGAATTTACCGCATAATCAGCCAAATGGCGCAGATTTTAAAAAAGCCGCATATTTATCAAAAGGCCGCATAATCCCCGCATTTTTCCACA